CAACACATCTTGCCAAAGGTGACACAGTAAAGCCACACTGCTGCTGTCACATGGTGAGAAAGAAATACTCCTCCATCTGCCTCTTCAGAAAAGGTGCTGCTTCTGAACCCTGGGATCAGCATCTGCTCTTGATGGAAGAACTAAGATTCCATCCCTGGTTTTAGGAGTACAGATTATCAGTGCTCTGCAGCTCATTGTTGCTCCTGTTGCTTGCTCCAACCATAGGATTTTTAGGCAGAGTTGTCCTCTCCATGGGATCACCTACCACTTGCCAGCCTCAGCAAAGCCAAACATTAAAGCTTGAAACCGTGGACATTCAGGAACAAACCAAGTAATGAAACAGTCTGGCACCTGATTAAAAAGAAGTGATCATGCTTTCAGCATGATAGAGACGCTGATGTGGGAATTTCCATGTGAATAATGAATGTTTGGAAATGCTTGGAGCATTTCAAATGGTAAGGGCAGTGTTTCTTCCTGTGTTCAGCAAGCCAGTGGCAGTAGTTCCCAGAATTGTTTGGACTGTAGAAACAGATTTATAATTCATAACAAAGAAGAAATGTCCTTCATTGAAGCAAGAAGACACAGTGAAGTAAGAAAGTTGACTTTACTCATATTCTTTTGTTATGAAATGCTGTCATGCAAAGGTGTTCAAGGATCCTTTTTTTCTGAGCAGATAAACAGCTATTGATGGATTTATTCCATATTTGATGTAGTCTTTCAAACAAGGTTTCTTTCTTACGGCCTGTTTTGCAGGGGATTTAAGCAGATACACTCTGCAGTCTGGAATAGCACATCTAGACTGTCTGAACACATGAAATTCCTCTGCTTACCAAAAGCTGGAGTGAAAAGCTGTACTATGCGTTTCATGAGCAGCGTTTAAGAAAAAAACACATAAAGCACAAACCAAACCTCCACAAAACTCAATGCCAGATTCATGGGGTTTCAAGTTCTACTTAAGGAATCAGCAAGCAGGGTTCAGGCGTAGTTAATAACAGAATGTGTTAGATGGTGCCTAATAACACGGGATAATCCAGGAGGAAAAGAAAGGGTGAGGGATAAAGGAATGTCGTCCTAGAACAGCCAGGTACTTAGAAATAAAGCCATGAGAATTCCAAACCATGAGATTAACTCAGCTGTCACCGCCAAGCGACACCCTGGGCACAAAGCATGGGAGGCAGCAGGGATGAAGAAGAAAAGGGTATTTGAATTTTCACTGTGATGAACCACATACCTTCGTCCTGCTGGAACAGAGGCTCCCAGGAGCACACAGTCCTGATAAATCCCAGCTGGGAACTGGATTTGGATTTGGTCTGAAACTCCACTGCTCATCACAGACACAATGGGATTAATGTCATTCCTCAAAAGGAGTGGGGCCTAAAGTCACCACGATTTTCAAGAGCCTGTGAATTTTGGATGGTTAATTCTGGAGATGGTCTCAGACCAAAAGTCAGTGCCAAATGAATACTTTTGGCACTGACACAGGGCCTCCCATCTTCATTAGGAACCTGAAGAACATAAAGCGGCCTGAATTGTTAAAGCAAGTGGCCCAAGTCAAACTCTGGAGTGAAAAGCCTCCAAGTCATTTGTTGAAAGTGAAAATTTGGAAGAAACTGGCTTTCAAGACATACACAGGCACTCAACTGATTAGAAGGGCTGCTGAGCACTCAGCTTTGGTCTTCAGCTCTGACTGTATTGATTCTACATGCTTATCCTTACCTCTGGAGCACTGCAGAGCATCCTTTGCTCCTGTTGACAACCTGGCAGCACTCAGCCCCGTAGAGGATGTGTATATAAACCTCCAGAACTGCAACAGCCTGCTCTCCCTTCTGGGCAATCACATCCTGGGAAAACCCAGAACCATCTGCAATGGAATCCTGGCCCAGCTGAAGTCAATGAAGGTTTTGCCACAAGTTTGAACATGGCTGGGATCTCATGCTGTCTGCAACAGGCATCTGTTTCTGTGTCCCAAAAAGACCTCTTTAAACAAGAACAGGCTGCCCATGGTTTTCATCAGTCTCAAATATTTCCTATGTTGATTTTCTTGGCCAAGCCCCAGGTTTGCCATTGCTGTACTGTACTCTCTGCTGGCCCGCACTCCCTCCAGTGTTGTCAGATGTTGGATTTCCCCTTCCTATCCCAAGCAGCAGAGCCGTGCCACTCTGAGCCATGAGTCCCACCCCTTGCTCCTCCCCAAATACCTCTGGTTTATATTTACTCCACAAAATGCTTCAGGATCGTTTTGGGAGGAAAGACACTCCAGCAATGTAAGAGGACACCCTCCTTTGGTGGCCCTTTCCATGAGGATGTGACTGCAGCCCGGCAATTTGCTATTCCCGTCCTGTGAAATCAGAGTGCTTCAGAGGTATGAGAGGGATCAGAGACTTGGGTGTGGGGTTTCTTTTTGCCCCGTGTCCACAGCAGCAAGGGAGAAGGGCTGCCCACAAAGGTCTGCCTGAACTCTACACGGATTGCATGTGAACCGTAGTTTCCGTCCTTGCAACACCAGGGAAACCACCATGACCAAAAAGATGGCCTCAGTAAACACCAGCACTTGGCCAAGTATGGTTTATTGCAGAACTGCTGTCTCAGACAAGTCACTTGCTGTCTTTTTATCTGTCAGCTAGAAATAATTGTTGGCACATGATGCTGACTTTTGGGTCCAGAAGAACCACATTCCTCCCAAAGCCAGAGAAAAAAACAGCTAGCTGCTGACATAGCCCTTATCCACCTGGTGAAGACACTGCTTCCCCCGCTTTATGCTGAAATCCTGGGCAGAAAAGCACAGCTCAGTCTTGCTGGTGGGGCTCAGGGTCAGCCCTTCATCCCATCTGCTCTGAATCACCCACTGTGGCTTGGGGCAGGAGCTGACGGCTCCAAACCGTGAGCCACACTGGCTGAAGTCCACAAGGAAAGCTGTCAGAGTTGTGATTCATAGCCAAGCAGCACTGGGCTTTGGGGTCTAAACACCTTTCCACTCACTGCTATTACCTATCACTTTCAGGACACCAATCCCCAAAAAGGTTGATATTCCTTATGAACCTTTTTGGTCCACCAGAAAGCCATATACTCCAGAAGAGCACTGTGCTGGACAGGTAGATGGGGAAAGTGATGCACAGGGATGGACGTGCCCAGCACTGCCTCATGAATCACTGCGGAGCAGGCCAAGCACAAAGATATGTCCTAGACCAAGAATTCATTTTGCTTTTTCCATGTGTTAGCAGCTGTGTGTCCCTCTGCAGCTGCACTGTAAAGAGGAACTGGTGTCCTATGGGTGGCCATCTGAACTCTGTCCACCGGTGGCCTTTGGGGCAGAAAGAAGAGCTGGGGTCTCCAGAGCTGGGAGTGACTGGCTAATCAGAATAGTTTCACTAACACTTCTTCCACAAACCTACAACTGTTCCAATTGTTTTTCCAAAGGTTCAAAACCCAAACCAAGACTTTCATCCTGCCCTGCCATGTTCTCTCCCAAAGTTTGCATTTTCTTTCAAAAGCGTAAACTGGGAGCATGTGGTTGCCTTCCCTTTCAGAACAAACATTATTTCTTTAATAACACTCACCATGCCAATGAGATCCAGGAGAGACTCCTCACACTTCACAGCTGAAGGGCTGGGAACCCTTTTCTGAGGAGGGACTGATAACACAGGGGACACTCTTGACAAACTTCAGTCACCCCTTTTTCTTAAGAGCATCCCGAAGGATGCTGCAACGAGTCAGGTCTGTGTATTGGGCATAACAACTCTCATTTCCAGGCTGAGCAAAGGCTCTTTGCACGTCTGTCCTGTTGTCACTACCTCCTACACAGGGGCAATGTAAAGTAGGGAACAGTGGACTTCACCCACATCTCATCGTCATCACACGAAGCCTAGTAAAGACCTCTCCCATCCCCAGTTGATGCTCCTGCTCACACACAGCAATGTGAGGGCTTCACCTCATTGAGTTTGCTGCAGCCTCTCACCTGCTGATGTGCTTTTCATTTACAGCTGCCACATCAGTTTTTCCCCATATGCATTTCAGCATGGCAGGAAGGTTACTTTAATTGGGCAGTATGAGCATTGGGTCCAACCACGGGCACAGATTTGCTGGTCCCCAAAAAGTATAGGAAAAAGTGCCGATTTCTGGGGTCTGCAGCAACAGTAGGTTCCTGGCACCCTCTAATGGAAAAGTTAAGTCACTGAATCACCATCCCTTAGGTCTATGAGCCTTGGCTTTTGCATTTCTATTTTTAAACTAGTATCACAGGAATAACTTCTAGCCATGCACCATACACCTTGTGCCAGCGTGGACCCAGAGAATGTGCTGAACAAATGTCAAGGCTGCTCTGGGGAAGGAGAGGCTGCCTGGCGATTGCCCCCTAAGCCCTGGAGGCCAGCACACACAGGGATTGCTGCTTTACTTACGGAAATGCAAAGCAATAGCTGATCAGCTCCGACACTTGTGCCTTGTTTGCGAATTGAAGTGACATGCTCGTGGGCTAGTCATGTTACATTGCCTGTCCCTCCCTTTCCCCCCACCTCTCCCCCAGCCACATCAATAGGGTGGCATTTCCCAGGGTATTTTTCCAAGTTAGGCAGTCTGGAAGCACCTGAAATCTCTGCCCAGGTTAGATGTGGCTCTGGAGCTGGTTTGTAAACAGAATTCCTGCTCTGAATTATAAGAGGCTTTTAAACCTTAGCTCTTGCTAGAAAGTGACACCCATGTCCAGAGAAGTCCTGCACGCAGCCCCTTGGCAGAGCTCTCTAAAAGGTATGTCCCTGGGCGGTAGGGGATACCTGACATTTAGAGGCATGGAAAAAGCCTGGGTGGTGGCAAGCACAGCATTCCTGTGACAATCCAGCAGCCTCATACATCCAGGCGGAGGGGGATCAGTGAGATCCCTGCCCCAGGTAAAGCATTCAATTTCTGTCCATTGCTGACCTGCCAACACAGGATGCAGGGAATAAGTAGGACCCAGCCCATCAATCATGCTCTCACCCTTTACACACTATACCCAGAGATAAAAATCATTTAAATAACTGTCTATTACAGTGAAATCTGATTTCCAGGAAACATTGATCCATGCCAGTCTCAAAACTCTGGATTTACTGCAGCATGCAAGAGGTTTGCAAACATAGCAGCGCGTAAGGTGTCATTTCCCTTGGCAAAAGGCTCCCCCAAAACCAATGAAAGTGAAAGAAAAACTGACCCGAGCCTGGCAAGTGTGCCACTGCTGACACCAAGAGTTTAACATCCCAGAGCTACCTGTGCCTCTTTCGTCTCACAATTGAGAGGAAAAAGCAGGCTGCAAACTGCCATATGAAAAGCATAGAGGACCAGTATTCCCTGAGGGCTAGCTGAGACAGTCCGATGTATTTCACCCATAAGTTTAAGGCACAGCTGATCACAGACCTCTGGAAGTGGAAGCTAGTACTCGAATTCAGCAGATCTCTTCTAAAATCCCTTTAAAATCCTTTTACGTTGAGAATCCCAGTTTCCACAGCAACAAGACACACAGCTCTCTGCGGAGTTTAGGGCTATAAATAAACCCTAGGTCTATAGTTGTGATATTAGCTATGAGGGCTTTAAAAAATTGCATGTGGTAATGAAGGATCAGTGCTGAAAGGAAACAAATTTAATGAGGAAAAGATGGTTCCTAACTCGGTTTAGAGAGCAGCTTTGAACAAAGGAAAATGGACAATACACACCACCTGGAAAGATCCTGCCTTTTCTAAGGGTCCTCCTGATTTCAGTGGGATTGCTGGAAATGGTGCCTTACAATATCCATTTTGCCTGTGTTTAAACTTCATGTTTAAATGGCTGTCTTTAAAAAAATAAGGAGAAATGGCCATTAGCCATTGTTTTCGTAGCCTTGCTCTTTCTGGGGAAGCAATTAAGGCTCTAACACTGGGCCAGATTATTCAATATCCTTATGCATATTGAACCTCGCCTGCCACACCAGTGACTCCACTGGCTCTGCTCTAGAGCACGTCCCTATTTAGGAAAGGACTTGTACATGTGCTAACTTTAAACATGTATTTTAATCCTAATTGCTTTTCTGAACTGGGACCGTTGGCTGCTGCAGGACTGCCTGGAGGCGAAGATGCTATTCCATGAGATGCAGTCAGAGGGCAGGAATTTGGTCTGCTGGATCTAAAGTGCTGTCCTCACCCCCTGACTTCAGGGTACAAACAAAGACGCAATCCCGTACGGAAACATAAATATTAGCAGTGTTAAAAGCAAAGAGGAAATTAAATAACTATCACATGGCATAAAAACAAGCTTATCAGGGGAGAGAGAATACTGGTGGGTTTGAGCTTGCACAACAGATTTGTATACAGTAGTGAGGAGGAGGAGATGAGGAAGGAGAAGAAAGGAAACACAAATCAAAGAGTTATTTGGAGTTTCCTCTATTATAGACAGAAGGTCCATGTTATTCAAACAGATGTACTGCATGTCACCAGCTTTCTGGTGTTTGTTATTTTAAGGATGGTCTTAGGAAGAAAATAATTTCCACTCTGAGGCTCCTTTATATCCATTTTAGGCAGTCTGTGGAGAGAAGCCCAAAGAGTGGGGCTGTGGAGATTCCTCCAGGCTGAGCTGGTGGTAGATCCTCTGCTCTCTTCCCAGTAGGTGATTTTACTGAACCAGGGAAAGGAAATGCAGCAGCAGCTCCCCCTCAGTTGGGTCAGGTTGGGGCAGAACCCCACCATCAGCACCAAGGAGCTGCATTGCTGCTGCTTGCCAAGGGGTCAAAAGAACTGGGAGAAAAAAGATGTGTTACAAAATGGATGGACTTGGGTAAAATCCAGACAGAACTTGTATGTCTCTGTGTGTAAACAGAAAGCTGCTTTCCAGCCAACAACTCCCTGCACAGTCCTCCTGGGCTGGAGGGACATAAGGGCTCTGCAGTGAGACTGGGGTGATTTGTTTAAATGCGATCCCTTCAAGTTTAACCTGGGATCTGGGTTTTCTGTGGCCTCATCACCAGCTGGGAGGATGATGTGGATGACGGTCTGCAGTTGTGCCTCTCTGAAATAACTGGCTTTGAAATCCAGAATAAAATAGGACTGCAGACATTGCAGTCTCCCATAAGCAGAATCAGGTTTTGTTTCTCCTGAAGGTGCTGGCTTGCCCATAGTATGGAAAGCCAGAAATAAAGCATGCTATTCTGGTCACTAACATGAGTGGTCTGATGGCGAGATCAATGTAGACAGTATCGTGTTATAAACCTAAAAGCAGGACAAAGCTATCTGCTATTGAGGCAAGTCTTATACTAGGCAGCTATTACAGAGGCACATGCACCAGGTTGAGCTGATGTCTTCTTCCAACAATGCCACATCCCAAACAAAACTGTACTGTAGGAACTCTGTTGTGGGAAAGAAGGACCATAAACATTATCCTTACACAGGGAAAAAGAATTAGAAAATTAAATGCATGGCTGTAAGTTGCTCAGGGTGCAAACATTTAATTCCTGCACCTTCTGCCCTAGTGACATTTCTGGGTTGATTCATGTTTTCCAAAGGGCTTTCAAGCTTCTCTGCTCCTCTGCACCACTCAGTCTGGAGAAAAACAAAGCAAACGAAGACATATGAAAAACCTTCTCCTTCAGAGAACGCATTTGGCATAAGACACAGTGTCTGGGACTGAGAGTACGTTTCTTTTCCTGTGATTAGCTGATCATCATGCAGGACATTTCAGAAGGTAGCGCTTTTAACAGAAGACACAAAAAGTTGGAATCAATAAGCAATAGTAAAAGGCAAAAATAAAACATTGCATTTCAGAAGAGGCAGGCACCAGGCCCATTCTCTGAGGGCTCCATCCTGCTCCCACTGAAATCAAAAGGAGTTTTGGAGTTGGCTGCAGAGGGAACAGGAACAGTCCTAAAGGCACTAATTAGTACAGCTGGTTGAATAATGCATAATGAACAGTTCATTCAGCTAATTCCATCTCTTTTTCTATTCATGAATTGCCCGTGAACCAATCCCAATTTTCTCATTTTGGTTGTCATTCAGAAGTTATTTGTGGGTTTCTTCAGGAAACCATTCCTGGTGTGCAATTCCAGCATGCAACACGTAAACACCCGGAGCTTGCACGGAAGTGCTTTAAGTGTGGGGTTAGCAGGACATTATCCCTCTTGCCCAAGCTGGTATTTCTGTAACCAAGTGCAGCATGAACTTTAAATGTTGCAAAGGAACGCTGAACTTTACATTCGTGTTCAGTAAATACTTGTGCACGTTCCTTTTCTTCCTCGTGCTTTCTCCTTGCATTTTAAATGGATGTAGCTGGAATACCAACCGAAGGCAGAGAGCGAAGGGATATGATGTGAAAACACCCCAAGGAATGTCACTGGAACAGCCAAGTAAATATTTCCAGACTTTCCTTTCCAGCTGTAAAGTGATTTGGCTGTAGCAAAGAGTAAATTGACATTGTGTAATGGATGAAAGTGGAATTGGAGAGGACGACTCCACTCTGGGTTGCTGCACATCCCTCCCAGGCTGCCAGAGCAGGACTCTGTGCATGGGGCAAACATTGGCTCTGGCCCCTGTGTGGCAAGCGGCTACGTTAGCTCAAGTAAAAGGAAAGTGAAAATGACTGCAACATGCCCTTGTTTTGTAAAGAGTCACCCAAAATGTGATTTTCCTGGGGTGAGATTAAAGTAAGGAAGAGTTTCAAGCAGGAATGGAAAAGAAAGAGCTGCCCTGTGACTGGGCCAGCAGGGATGGGGAGGCTTTACAAAGACTGAGGAACCCCTGCCATTGCAACACACAGTGCTGGAGAGGCAGGGACAGGCCGAAGCATGGGTGGACATGGGAAGACAAAGAATGCTTCCTGAGTTGGACGTAAGGAATAACAGAAGGGAACTGGGGGAATCGTTCTGGGCAGCCAGGGACCGTGCATTGTCACACTGAAGCCAGCACCATGGGGAATCACACAGAGCCAGAAGGGTCTGCCTGGCTTCTGGGTCAAAGAAGGGATGTGCCAGGGTACCCAGTGGGAGGAGGAACACAGGGCAAGGGAAGTTCAGGGCTAACACACACATTGAGTTTTGAAAGGTGACAGATGAGAGGGGTAGTGATCGAGGGGCGACCTTAACTCAGGGTTAGGCAAGTCTATCCTTTGTGCCTTCAGTTGGTGAAAAACCCTGAAACATCCTTATTTAAAGACACGTCTGTGCCTGCCAGAGTCTATCGGCAGAGGGCAGTGACACTCGCACACACACACGTCCCTGCCAGCCTTTAATCCATCCTGCTTTTGCTTCTGTCACAGCAAGGACACCTTCCACCACCCTCGTCCAAACCAAACGCATTCAGTTTATTACTTGGAAGGCAAGCTACAAGCGATGCTGCAGGCCCAACATCTGGCTTCTTTTTTTAGTCTCCCTCTTCCCAAAGCCCACGTGGTGTTTTTCTATGTGTTTCAAAGCTGGGATTTGTTTGTTTTTTCAAAACCAAGAGCTCCAATTCCAGCATCTGCGAGAAACCTTACAGGAAATAACCCGTGTGCACAGAAGTAGTTGAGTGAACATGCCATAGCAATATTTATCTTTCCCTTCTGTATAAGAGTATGGACAGCACGCAATGCTATTGCTCCTGTCACTGCATCCAAGCAGAAATGAGACAAGAGAGTGCAGGGTGGAGCTGCAGGATCAGAATGCTTCACTGAGGCTGAGTGGGGAAAGGGAGTGGGAGAGGTGGACACTGAGCAGGTCAGATTTGGCGGGTTTAGGTGGCAATAGGGAGCAAGGTTTTGGCAGAGGGCAGCCAGGAAGGGTATGAGGAGACAGGCAGGGGATGATCAACAGCGGAGACTTTGCTAGAGGTGGGATAGGGCAGAGAAAACACAAGGAGGTGGCTCTGAGTAGCACAAAAGGAGCCAGAAGCTCTAGGGTGAAAGTCCACAGAGGTGCCATTCACACACACAGACAGCTGGTTCAGAAGTATGCTTTCTCTCAGCATATTTCCCCAAAGGGAGGAAAGTTGGTTTGGGGCAGAACCCACACAAGAGAAGGATGCCAATCAGTTAAACCATCCCCAGTGAGACCAAGCCAGCAGCGGGTTCATCTAGGGCTTTGCAAGTCATTTTGGTAGAAGACTTAGAATTTCCAAGCTGAATTTCTGGCAGAAGTGCTAATATTTAACCACATTTAGGAGGTCTAGAAATGCCAGACATGCGAAATCTGCCCACTTAATGACCAGTGTTGAACGGCCTCCTAAAGGAACTAGGGAACTTTTAAAATGCGATAGATAAAAGCTCTGAAAAAGTCCCTATGGAGGAATCCTGTGGGCTGGGAGCAATGAGGACAAGATAGATGTGGGTAACGCCACTGTCCTTTTAACCAGCAGCCTCCTGAACAAAGCTCCCCCTCTCATTTCAGTGGCAGAGATTCTCACCTCCTGCTGACTCTGTTCACTCTGGACTCGCACTGTATTATTTTAGTCCATTTTTACACGCTTTTGGACATTCCCAGTTGCATTGAGTCAAACTCACATAAAGAAAAGATTATATTGATGGATTTGGCTATATTTGCTCTGACATGCTGTTTAAAGGGAAAGAAACACTTCAGCTGGGCTTCTTAGTTAAACAGGGTTGAGGAAACCGAGTACAAGAATTCAGACCCTTAAGACGGTACCCAGTGTTGAAGAAACTGGCCCTCTCCTCTCGCCTGATGGAGACATTCAGTGATGCCCTGTGCATGTTCTGAAAATCAGAAGAAAATAACTGTGCTTTCAGTTATTGTTTACTGATCACTCCGACAAGGAATCTTCCCCAGCTGTTTGTCTCAAACAAACAAGGAGAATTCACAGGATGAGAGGAGATGCTGCACACAGGACAAAACAAGGAGCCAGTTCTGGTGTCCTGAGGGCTCTTACGGGATCACGACTCTACAGGCACCCCAGAATGACCTTCACTCACAACCCATTGCCTTGAGCAAGTGGTAACACGAGCTCTTACAAAGCTGATTTATCTTGCTGAGGGCAGCTCCTTGCTTTGCCCACTGGCTAGCCAGGAATTCTTGGTGGCTTGTGACAGAATCATATGTCATGCTCCATTCCGTTTCCTCTGGCTTCTCCCAAAGCCACTTGTAATGAGAGAAAAGCCTCCCAGTTTGTATACTACACTTCAGATTAGGGTTTGTCTTACTGTCTGTCTGGCATTGAGGACAAACAATTTCTGTTCTGGCTGCAAATCACAGCTCTACTCACTCTTTAAGCAGCAAAATTCTCATTCCAACTTTCATTTGGCTTAGATCTGGTTCCCAAGCAGAAAAGTTTAAACTTTCATCTTGCTACAGACCAGGCAATCATGAGATGGCTGACTTTGAGCACAGCGCAGCCCCGTCAGGACGGATTAATGCTGGGATAAAGACACCAACATAAGCAGAAAAGCCACCACAGAACTTGGTGTCCTTATGTCTACTGCTGTGAATCAATGCAAACCTTTCCTAAGGGTCTGAGAGTACTTCCTCTGTTTTCCACATTATCCCTTCCTCCAACAGACAATACTGGGCACGGCAGGAAAAGGAAGCACATATGGTTTGCACTCAATAACAGACCACTACAAGGAAAGGACACAGAGAGGCTGTGGGATTTTCAAGGACCCTCTCACAGCAGGAGTCTGCAGCACAGAAGCAGAGTTGTGCAGCTTTACAATATATGACAGTAAGCATCCTTTGACTGCTTACTCTTGCATTTCAGTATGGCTTCAATAAATGCACTTGATGGTCTCAGATATTCCACAGGGAAATAAAAAAGGATAAGCTACCAGCATTTGGAATTTTTGTGGTGTGGCAGTTTGCCTTTGCAAGGTGTATAATGAAGTTTCCAATAAGCCATCACCCAAAGGAATAAGCCAATACCAACACAAGCGTTCACACAACTCATGTGACAGAAAGCAGCCTGCATCTGGGTGCAGTGGGCATCCCATAAAGATCAACTCAAGGCAAAATGCAATTGTGCTTCTAAAAAACAACAGTGTCAGAGGTTTTGTTTATCTGCGTTGCAGCAATATTGCACTTGCTAAAATAAAACACTCTCTCCCTGTCTTCCAAGAAGAATACCATCATATAAAAAACAAGTCTGGAATCATTCTTTGCCTGCCTGGGGCTGCATTTAAGAATGTTATTCCTGGCCTGCTCCACTTAAAGATCACCACCTGTATCATTTATCTAGCTGATGTGCAGCCTGGCTACCAGGCTGCAGCTGACACACAGCCAAGTCCCATGGAAAAATGGTCTGGAACTAAAAGAAATGATGTGTTGGCCTCTTGGTTGCTGGATGCCATCCATGCAACCCATAGTCAAGCCTAAAGACGATAAAGGTGCTTCAAAAAGTGCACTGCTGTCAGCCAGAACCCCAGTTTACAGTGGGAATGTGCATTCATGTGGGAAATAACCATGTTAAGAGGTCTTTAGTGTCGCTTATTTCCACATTTTTAAAGGTAATCTGAAATCAACTGCCCAATTGGCTTGGACCAGAGAGTGTGGTTTAATCCGGTGAGGCTGCTCAGGCAAACACTGGTGCCAAAAGCTGTTGGCATCACAAACCTAGCAACATCTCATGCCATACTGCACCCTTCTGCTGTGCCTT